TTGAACATTGTGAACTTATGCAAATGAAAATGATAGACTCGTAACTACCACTAGAGGGATGAACCAGTTATAAAATTTGGAAAAGGACTTGATAGTTGGTGAGAAGATTCTTATGTTTTTAATGTTAAAAACGTCAGATCCTACAATAAAAGGCTGGCGTTTGATCATTTTTAATTGTGAATTTTTACCTTTTATTATTTGTCTTTTAAAGAAGTTTTATCTTCTAACCAATGTAACTGTGTCTTCTGTGGTTTGTGTAAAAGGATTTAATGATAGACTCGAAAATGTTAATATATTTTTGTAAATAGTCTAACTTCAAGAATTAAAATATTGAAGAATGTCCAGAGCCAACATTGAACATTGTGAACTTATGCAAATGAAGATGATAGACTTGTAACTACCACTAGAGGGATGAACCAGTTATAAAATTTGGAAAAGGACTTGATAGTTGGTGAGAGGATGCTATCAGTTTAAAAGAAAAAAAAGTCATGCTAATAATAGTCGGTATAACCTGATAATGAATCAGTGTCTACACAATTGTGATTCAACGCTGATATCAGCCAGCGATTAGAGAGCCTGTAATAAGAGTTGGTCATATGCAACAAGCTAGAATATAGTACAGTACATACCGTATGTTTTTAAATTCAACACTTACATCACCGGTGAGTTTTTCTGTTGAACGATCTAACATCAGGTTTTAGTAATTGAAAAAGATTCCAAACGATTGTTTTACCATTTACCAGTAAAAACTTCTTGCCTTCTTATCCTACATTAGTAAATTGAAACTAAAACCTTAAATTTAGGTTAGGTTAGAATTATTTAAGTGTCATTTTATATATAGAACAAATTATTTTCATTTAGTTTCATGACATTGAGTTTTGTATAAAAATAAAATACAGTTATTTGCTAAGAAAATGATATTTAAATAATGTCATAAATACATCATTATCCAAAAATTTCCAACAAAGAAAATATATTAATAAATATGCAAAAGTTTATTTATATAAAACTATACAAATTTTTAATCATTTTCTCTGGATTTCTCCAAATCTGAATTAGGAGCTTCTTTAATTATTGCACCTTTCCTTTTTGGCAAAACTTTGAGAAAGGATTCTTGCCAAGTCAAGCCTTCTGCAACTCTCAACAAAATTTCGAAAACTAAAATAAACATCAAATTAATTTTAAAATTATAATATGTATATTTACTTAAGTAATTCGTACATAACGTGTGATTTTTATACAAGTATTTGTGTAATTAAACAAAAATATATTAATTTATGCTTTGCGCTTATAGAATTAGCGCTAAGATAGCATTTTCTAACTCAATATATGCGTAATTCTAGGATACACAAAACACTTTCAGGGAATACGCGGAAAAAAATATAATAGTCGCTAAATATAATTTTAAATCAGTAATTTTTCAGTTTTAAAGACCAGCTTGGTCTTCTTTAGCTGTTAACTAATTTTTAACTGACCTTAAAGTCATAGGCTATTTTATACATTTCTGAAAGATAAAAAAGTTCAGTTACTTTAATCTTTCTTTTCTGCTGACTAACTTCGCGTCTATATTACTAAAATAAATGGGGTAGTACTTTAGATTTCAAATTAATAATTAAAAATCAATAATTATGGAGCATATGTATGTGTTAAAAACCATTTTCCAGCATTCTTTAACTATTTTAAAGTCCGCCCTAAAGGCGCTAAGTGTGAATGCAAGACATTAATTCACAATAACTTGTATATGATATATGTATACTTATGAAAAACTATAATTTTTGAACTAATTTACAGTAGATTTATTGACACAAGGCACTAGCACGTAATATAGCTGGCTGAATTTCTCTGATAAACCACTGAATAATGGTAACAAATTCGCACCTCGCCAACGGATTCGAGTTTTTCGAATTTCCTTCACTTATCTAACACGTAAACACAGACCAGTTTTTTCCATAGTCCTCTCGGGAGAACCCCCGTAGAAGATCGCCCAAATGTTGTCTTATTCTATCAATCCAAAACATTATAAATACAGTATTTGAAATACTGTACAGTGTATGTGATCCGTAACAGGATCGATCGGCGTGATGAAAAATGAATGACATTCCCATCTGTACTGTCCATGATAAATTTTAGTATCCTGAATCGAATATTCATGTCTTTGGGCTTCAATCAAATACACTTCATTCAATGTGAACATTCCTCAAATTATGATTATATTTTAATTTGATCGTCGATAATTGCGAACTATATACAGTAAGTCAGTTTGCAACAAATGTATATGAAACAAAAATGAGTTAAAAGGATTAAATCGGAGTGTTTATTTAAAAAAGAAAAATATCTTTGTTAACTATCGTTTTGTTTGTGTTTTTATATAGATCTATAGTCTAATAATATCCATAGATGACAATTGATTTGTGTTTTGTCCATTTCATGAAATAATTAATATTCTCTTTTTAAGCCCATTTTTTCATTTACAATAAAAACAACAATAAGCTTTACAAAAAAATGATTTTATGTATTTATTTTATATATATTTTATATTTTACATCTTTGGATAAGAATTTTCCAACAAATATCTTACAAAAATAAATAAATATTTATCTATTAAGTAAACAACTCATTTACATTACATACTGGAAAGGTAAAAAAAAAAAGTTGATCAAAACAATTTTTGTACTAGTTAAGAAAATTAACTGTCCACCTGGTCACATTTTATCTATAATATATTATCAAAAAGTGTAATTTTGAACATATTCCAACTCCTGAGCTTTCAGAAATAAAAGTTGAAAAATTTTTGAGCAAAAATTAATTTAATTGTTCACTTTCTTTTGAGCAAAAATTTTGTTGGATGGTTCCTGTTTATTTTGAAAAAGAAGCAAAGACTAGCATCAGGCATGACTTCCAGTTCATTTTGTGTTGTATACTTCTTGTGATGTTAGTTGACTTAGTTTTCAATTAAGCAGAATATATCCAATTAATAAAGATGTATTTCATATTACTTTTTGTTATATATTTGTACAATATTTTACAAAATTTACATTCTGTGCAGCATAAGTTAATGTAAAACTTCAATACAATATACCCTGGTATTGACAATTTCTGAAATTAAAATCATATATTTAATTTTTTATAANATAATTTTAAATAAAATAATTTAAAAATTAACTAACCAGAATTTTCTGTCCAGCAAGTAATGGGTTGTTTAGGCATGGGAGGAGCCAGAACAGTTATAGCATGACTAAGATCAGGTGGAAGCGCATGTGTAACAATTTGATGTATTTGAGTAGGTCTTGTTTTATGTAGAACTGATAAACACAAATTTATGTTTTCATGTATGGAAAATGGTTAAGTTAACCACTATGATTACATTGAATCTGACACTTAAGTCAGCAAACTTTGCTTCTACAGCTTCTGACATTCTGAACATGAAGAATTATTGAATTTTTTGATAAAATAAGGTGCAACATGGTTCTACACTATGCTGTATTGTCTTCAAGTTGAAGATTAAGCAATTGAAAACAACACAAAATAGAATTACTGTGGTAAATATCCTGGTTTAGATGTTCTTGTCTTGTAGTGTACTCCACATGGTATAATAAAATTTTTCTCTGTATATTCAGAAACATTGAACTAAAATGTTATTCATTGTAGTAAACATGCAAGTAAGATATTTTAAACATGTTTTAATGGTTTTCTGCTAATTGTAAAGGTTCTCCTAATGTCTAGGTAATTATCTGGGACTACCTGGAATAGAGCACAAATTTATGAGGGATTTTATTTTGTGGTATATGTTGACATACAATCCCTGCATAAAATAAGACTATATTGTATCAATGTTTTCATATTTAACTGCATTTTTTATTAATTAAATTAAATTATAATTATACATTAAATTAGCTAGATTAAATTAAACGATAATTAGAATTACCAGATAGCCAGTCTCGGAATATTGCTAGCCAAAAATCAGGAAGACCTCCGTCATCATTTTTAATTATTTTGTCTATTCTTGTAAATGCTTCATGGTATTCATATAACAATTTTTGATTGGTTGGATATTCAAAATTTCCTTGAGTTATAGCAAACATATTGAAAAATCCAAAATATTTACTTTGAGCACTTAGAAATTTGTATTCATTTGTATTTCGTGGTACAATATCAGTTAAATCTAAACCATCATCAACAGATAACATTCCCCAAATACTTGCTATTACTGCAATCAAAAACAGGACTATAGTCAAAACCTATAAGAAAGAGAAATGAGAGACTATTATATTTTCATTCTAAATACAGTACATTAAAGAAATATAAATTATAAAATTAAATACCTTTGTTGATGTCTTTTGTAAAAATGGTGCATAAATATGAGTTGCAAACCATGCTAAAGACCAAGAATCCTGCTGAGCATGAAAACAAAGATAACTGACACGTTCTTTTAAAGATTGTTTTAATTTTACAGCAATAAGTTCTTTTGTAGATGTAGAATTTGTTGTTGATAGATTTTCAATTGATGAAGCTACTTTATAGAAAGAATAAATAAATATTTGGTAATAATTTTAAATAAAATAATTTAAAAATTAACTAACCAGAATTTTCTGTCCAGCAAGTAATGGGTTGTTTAGGCATGGGAGGAGCCAGAACAGTTATAGCATGACTAAGATCAGGTGGAAGCGCATGTGTAACAATTTGATGTATTTGAGTATTATTATAAATTAAATCTTTTTTCCGATCAGAAGTTTTTATTGGAGAAATTTGATTATGTCTAAAAAATAAAAAATTGCAAACTAAATATTGTATATTCCACTATTAGTATAAAATTGATCTTAAGTTTAGATATTAAACTGCTAAAAAGAAAAATTACCCATTGAAGCAGCAAAAGATATCCATTTTATTATTTCTTCTTCTTCTCAAATCCAAGCTAACTATTGCTGGAAATATCAATAGCATTGCTGCAACATTGAAAATGACTAGGATGGCAGCTTGCAATGCAAATGCTCTTAGAGCTGGTATTGGAATGATTGCTGCTGCAAAGAATGCACACATGTTACTAAATGATGTTAATAACACACTGACTCCTGTTTGTTTTAAACACTGTCCAGTTTGCTCCTAATTAACACAATATATTGATTAGCGAAACTAAATATATTTCTTTATTGGCATGAATTAAATAATTTTATGTTACATACTTCTGCTGATATATGAATGTTGGCATTCTCTCCATAAGTATGAGCCAGTAAGAACATATCATCAACTCCTAATCCTAATGCAAGGAAAGGAACAATCTGAAATTAAGAATAGCTATACTTGTAGAATAATATTTAAAATGTCAAATAAAAATTAATTAATGTATTTGATTTTTTACCTGTGTGGTAGATGCATTAAAAGAGATACCAATAATTGCACAAAAACCCAATCCTGCAGCTACTGTTATAGCTACAAGTAAAACTCCAGCAATACCAATCCCACTCTGTGATTTTACTGCATCTGTCCATTGAAGTAATGAAACACAAGCATATACCAACTACAAAAAAATAACTAATTTAAATTTTAATTGAACATTTTATGATGAAATTAATATAATAATTTCAATTACCATTAAAATATATCCAAGTGCAAGTCTTGTAACACTAACTTCTGAGAAGTCTTGCATGATATCAGTAAGAGATGTTGACGAGAATGCATTTATATTATGATTTTTTGTATTATTAGCATTCGTAGCTTGTTTTAGCACTGCCTGTTAATTAAAAAATTGAAATCAAAATTTAAAATTGAACTGATATTTAAAAACTGCTAAAGATTAGTTACAAACTGTAGTTATTTCAAGAAAATTTTTAAATCTGCACTTTTCAATTACATATATTCTTTATCATACCTGTATGTTAAACACATTTCTTGAATAGTGAAGAAGATTTGGCATGCAAAACAGGGAAAATTTGGCAAGGCAGGGCCTAGGAGAGAGACAAGGAAATTTGAAAAGTTAGTTATGTTAAAAGTGATTGCCCAGTTATAAAAGTGGAAAAGATGAATGAGTATAAAATAATTTAAACACTAATAAAATATTTTAATTTTTATATTTTTAAGATAGTTATTTTTTTATTGTAGTAAATGAATGTAATATTACCTCTGTGAATTTCCTTTGCCATGTTTCTAAAACCATTTTAGCTTTGTCTGGAGTCCAGTCTATATTATGTACTTTATAAGTATCTTGCCAGAATTCATACATTTCTTTTTCAGCCATTAGTTGAACCACAGTTTGCAATGCTTCTGCCCTTTTAAACAATAATAATAAATCATTTTTAGCACTTTATAATTACTGTATTTTGGATGTTAATTGAATTTTTTAAAATTAATACTTCAATAATTCTTTTAAGTAAACTTACTTTATTATGTGACCTGTTCTATTTCTTGTTATTCCACCAACAATAANTTACAAATATTAAATATTCTTTCATTTCTAATTGCATATGAATATTATTTAACTCTCAAATTAAAATATCAATTTCACAAAAAAAAACAAAAATCATATTTCTTCATTTTTCTCAATAGCTACTGTATATTTAAAAAAGTGTTTATTTATTATTATTTTATTTTAAATCAATGAAGAATTCTCACTGCTATTATTACTTAGTTTGTTAAGAATTCAATTAAGTTGAATGTATATTAAGTATCATTTGCTTTTTTAGCTTTTCAAGATTAATTATTAATTAATGTAATGTAATATATATTACTATGTAATGGTTAAGTAATAATAATTCAATTGGAATTTCAAATTAAATTTGCTATTTATTTATATCCCTAAAAAAAAAATATAGTTAAATAAATGAGTATATTTAAGAATAAATTAATATAATGAAAATTTATGTATTTAAAACATGTTTTAATGCATATATTAAGGCAATCTATGTATACATATACAGTACATTTTTATCGATACCTGGTATATGATGATAAAAATTATACAGGCAGATCATCTATTGTTAAATATATTAATCTTTAAATAATGTATTATTCATGATTTAAAAATTACTTATGTTTAGATCAAACATTAATGGAACAGCATTAAAAGTAACAATTTTTAAGTTTTAAAACAAAGGCCTAAAAACTAATCCCATGCTGCACTTATTGAAAAAAGAGCTAGGAAGAATCAAACATTATGGTGTAATTCTACCAATTGGATTGCATGGATCCATACTTTCAGAAAATGGTAATTTTTACTGCTTTGTTCCAAAGTGTGATACTAGCTACATCACTTCTATATTAAGGCTTTTCATTCCTAATTGATAGTCATATACATACTATTAATAAACATCTGTTAGAGATTATGAGTGATTTTTAGCATTATCATTATTTATTGAATAAAACTAAGTTTAGATAAAGAATATAAAATATCATTAAAACATATTTTTATTTAAAAAATATTCTAGTCAAAGTTTATGTATTTTGAGATTAAATGTGGGTAATGGGCTAGGATGCATTTCCTATTAAACCAATTAGGTCCAGGCCATTAATGGTTTGGAGGCACAAAAATTCAACAATAGCGAAGTTGCGGCCGACGTTTTCATTGCTAAAACTCGTATGTCGGACCATCCTGTAAGCCTAGAAGTTTGACAATGGCGTTTGGAATCATGCTCGACGTTCCAAACGTCATTGTCAAACTTCTAGGCTTGTAAGATGGCGGCGCTAGATGTTCGAAGTTTACGTTTTACAGATGAAAACTTCGGCCGCAACCTCTCTATTAACGGTAAATAAAATCTTAAAGAGTACTTTTTATTGATAAAGAAACATTCTAATTATTTTAAAAAACAAATGGTTGAATGATCCGCTTTATTTCCAAACTCCATACAAGCTGTTGACGGCTCTCGACGGTGTTTATGTAACTATATGAATTTTTGTAATTGTAGTTGCAAAAGTCGCCGATTACGGAATCTTGAAATATTATGTCACCGGTAGTTAAATATCGCTCATAGTGATGAGCGATATTTTTATTAGCACTATTATTATTTTATAACACTATTATTTAGCATTATAAATGTTTTCATCTTTTATTTGTAAAGCTAATATTTTGTGTCAGATTTAGATTTTTGCTTTCTACTTTGAAGTCAAGAGAAAATTACAAGAGTGGACAAATTAGATATACAGTTATGAGAATGAGAAACACAATTCTTGTATTGTTTATTTATATTGTTTGTCTTCTTATTGATTGAAATATACCACAATATAGAACCAGTGGCGGCCTTAGGGGGTGGCGAGCAGGGCAATCGCCCGGGGCCTCGCTCTTGGAGGGGCCTCGCGCAACAACCAAGTAGAAAAAAGTTGATATTTAAAACTTTTTATTTTATCCTTGGCTATTAGTTATAACAATAAAATAAATTTAATTTATAGTACAGTATATATTAATATTAATAAGTGCCTACTATTTCAATTCACATACTTTGCACAAAGGACAAGGGCCTCGCAAAGATCTGCCGCCCAGAGCCTCGCAATGGATAAGGCCGCCGCTGCT